GTGCATTGGGGGTGCTGGGGGTGAAGGAGTCGAGACAGTGAGCGTTGCATGGGCCCCTGCCATTTGGAAGCTTCCCTGGATTTCTTGATGGTGTCGTCAGACCTCCAGACGCTGCCAAACATTTTCCCCTCTTTGCTCGACAAGCATTCCATTCCTGCTGGAGCAGCAGCAAAAACAGCTCGAAAATACCTTTAGCCAGCTGTTGCATGCATGGAACTAAACACAGACAGGCCGCTGGAGTTTCAGACTGCATTCTATTAAAGCTCTTAATATTTTTGGGATTAATGTTAGGATTGACAGGGCAGGCCAGTTGTTGGCCACTTGTGAAAGTCCAAAATGCAGTGTGGTGATTGTGAAAGTCCAAAATGCAGTGTGGTGATCTCAAAATTTCACAGGATAAGCTTGAATATGGTGATGCCACTTACTTACTAACAAAAACCTAAACATTTCTTTGAAAACCCTTAATTTCCCATACAAAAAATGTTTTATGTCAGACATTTAGTTAACTTTAAGATTAAGGAAGCAATTTACTTTAAAGCAAGAAAACTTTAAAACAAGAAGTTTCTTTTTTTCTACTGAAACTACCCTCCTCCCAAAGTCCCCCCCCCATGGGTCCCTGCTTCACCTCACTGGCTGTCTTCTGCAGAAAATATGGACGCATGATTCCAATCAATCAAAAACCCACAGTCGAAATATGGAAGTGCAGCAGAACCACAAAATGGTTTTAATACATCCAGGAGGGATGTTTGTAATATCTGGGATGAGGGATGTTCAGTAAAATGGCCGGAGAAGGAATGCAGAGCCTTGTGGAATCTGCAGGCTCAAGAGGAAGAGGGGGCTGCTCTAAATAATTACTCAAGTACAGCATTTTAAAAAGCACAAATACCACAGGCATAGGCAACAACATTCTCTTCTAAAAAAAATGAATTTCTGAAGGAGGAATTAAGAAGAAAACATCTTGGATGTAATCATTTTCTTTGAAGAAGGACACTTCTTTTTCCATTTACCTAAACCAACATCAACACTCTAAGATCCAAAGGAGACCTCAGTCAAATGAGTGAATTTGTTTCCCTCAGCACAACCAGTCAGCTTTAATGAGGGGCAGGAGGTTTGTAGCACGCTGTAAATCCAAGATACGTTCCAGTCAAGCTCCGACAATGTTTTCCAAGGGGGGGGGGAGAGAACATTTCCTTAGTCCCCCCTTCCCATAAATTTCTGAACTCTTAAATAAAAACAGAAGACAAATCTCAAGTCTTAAGTTCAAACCAAACCAAAAAAACACATGCCACATAAAGATCCGAGATTCAGTAATGCGACCTGATGCAAATTCCCCTCGGTGCACGAGGAAAAAAATAACCCATCCACAGTCCTTGGCAGTGCAGCGGCGGAGCAATGACATCACAACGGCGGCAGCGGAGCAGTGACATCACAACGGCGGCACGCCACGGAAGTAGCGGATGACGTTGGCCAGGCGCTTCACCAGACCGGGGCTTGGCTCCTCTACCTGGAAGGTGCGGGTCAGGAGATTATAGAGGGAGCCGTAGCCCACGGCGACGACGGTGCAGGTGAGGCAGATGACATTGTAGGGCATGCTGAAGTCCGGGGTGGGCAGGTTCACCAGGAGGGGCTCGGTGTACACGCGCACAAAGTAGCTGGACTCCTCCTTGCACGGGAAGCTTGAGGAGGAAGCAGGACAGGCAAGTCAACAGCATTCAGACAGAACCAACAGAACCGGGTCAAATTGCTCAAAGACATTGCGGTCACACTCACAAGGTGCTGAACAGGGGGTATTCCTGGCTGCTGTTGGTATCCATGGCGACAACGCTTGGCACCAGCCCACTGATTACAGAGGACCTGCAGAGTAAAAACAGGAATTCAAACAGAGTCACTTTCATCAACCCCAGGCCTTCTGTCCCGTAAAGCATGACACAATTAAAATTTCTACAGAGTTTGCAGTATGTCCGCATCTGATTACACGGCCTGGGGAACAGACGTGACATTGTGGATGTACCAGCCAACCAGCAGATGTAAGACTCAGCCCTTTCATACAGCTGTTACAAAAACCCAGAAAGAGGGGCAGCTCACCCTACGTATAAGCCATGGTTTGGGTCGGGGGTGTACTCTGTCCACTTCAGCAGTGCCCGCTCAAACTGCACAGTCACCTCGGTGACAGAATTGGGCGGCAGCTGAATGAGCATCTCCAACAGATGGGGGCGCACTCGGTCCTTAGAAGGCTGGTAATGAATGTAGCCTTAAGGGGGGGGGAATAAGGTGAAGATGAGTCTTGCGGTTTTAAGGAGGGTGTGTAAGAACAGGCCGGGAGGCAGACAGACTCACTGGGCTTGTTGGGGAGGGCCTTGCTGGTGACGGTCAGAGTATGGATGTACATGCGGAGGTACCAGGGAACCACGTCCAGGAGCAGCACGGGAAACGCCCGATAGGGATGGTTGTTGCTGATCAGGGTGTGAATCTCTCCCGTCTGCAGCCCATAACCAGCCACATAGCGCTCGCCGTGCAGTAGGGGGCGAAGCATGTCCGCTAGGGATCGGCAGGAGGCGGAATTAAAGTGGCATTTTTATATTAAGATACAGTGCAAAGAGAATGGCTAAATGATCTTCATGTTGGTGTAAAACTATGATATTATGTCTGTAAGAGTAATCAGCTGAGCCATTTCAAAACGTCTCCTAAAGTCACCCCAGCATTTGCAGCAAATGTCCAATACACTCATGTATATTTTAATGTCACCACCCCACCTTGTCTGGCTAGTCAGGACCTCAATGAGTTATTTTACTAATTACGTTCATTAACTGAGTTGGTGGAAGAACGTAACCAATACTTTGGAAAATGAAGTGGTGTTTCTGCCATCAAACAAGATATCAGTAACTTCTTGCACAAAAGAAGAACTCGTTGTGTATTTTTAAATTTATATAACCAATAGATTAATAATTAATATAAACAAAAATGAATAACAGAAATATAGAACAAAGGCAAAGCCCTTTACAAAAGTATGGACTGTTACTTTGTATATTTGTAAAGTTAAACCGCAATGTTACATTTACTACTTTGACTGCCACAGACTTTTGCACAGTAATGTTTAACAAAATAATTAGCAAATACTTCTTTTCTATAGCAATACACCCGAATTAAGACTCCAAAAGTATTTTTTATTCCTCCTGAACCTGAAATGTGATACGACAGATCAGCAGGTGGTGATGACGATGATGATCTTTTGTCATGGGTATAGCCCGTGGGGGGGGGGGTAGTAGTCAAATATCGCTTACCCCCACTAGACGTCTTCCAACGCAGAACAATGTTTAATGTTCGCAAAGACCCAAAGGTGTCCATCATCTTAAGATCATATACAGCATATGTCCTGCGGTCTCCCAGAACAACTGCTTGATTCAGAGTGGCTGAAGATGGGTGAAGTTCAAACAGCTCCCCCTAGAGGAGAAGACCAGCACAGTAGCTTGGATGAGTAAATAGAATAAAGCATAAAATATTACCAGGGACGCCGATAACACAAATACACACTCACCTTTAAAAGCGATATTTGCGCCAATCAACTGTTGTAACAGCACAAATGCATACGTATTTTATGTGCATTTGTGCAGATATTACATTAAATGATTGTGCGGTTTAACCTTTATATGCTAATTCATACTTCATTTGTAGTACAAAGGCTGAAATGCACAGTAATGTTTTGTCACAGCAGTGCAAATGCACATAAAATATGCACGCCTCTGCACTGCTGCAGCAATCCATTTCCGCACGTATGGCTTTTAAAGGTGAATGCGTACCAGCGTGCCAGTTAGGTCCGTCCCTGGTATAACTAAGGGATTGGCCTTGCTTCGGCCCACACAACCTCAGCATCTGACAGAAAATGTGAAAGGGTGACCTCTTACTTGGGGGTTGTCTGTGACGTCTATGTACACCTTACTAGAAGAGGCCAGAGGACAAGCTTCAGTCAGGGTGCGAGAGAACATCTTGAATAGGGACCACTCTGTGGAAGAAAAATGTAGATCAAGAAACCATTAAAAGATTTTGATTATACACAATTAAATGAGCCAGATGTACAGTAAAATTAGTGTTTGCATCACTATCACAGAGACCCCATCCTCAGCTCACCCTTCTTGTTCTGTCCAGTAGTGTACAGGTCAAAGACCACATTCAGCGTCTGTCTCAGCTCCCACGCCATAGTCCTGCATTGCCAGTCCTGAAAGACACACACAAACACCTGACTTAATACTGTTAAGGATCCGAGGTACAGGCCCACTGGCACACAGACAGTTAACAATGACACTGCATTACAAATGGCAGTGGGATTAAAACAATGGCAGTTTTACTCTTGTGACAGCTCAGCACCTGCAAAAAATTATACATAACCAGAGCAAGTATTCCATATGGGTTACCTAGGCAGTGCCCAAAATGGAAATGCAGACCGAGAGAGCCTCACCTGGCATATAGGCCGAATGTGCACGGCCTGCGAGAAGAAACTGCTGTGGAAGAGCTTCTCTGACTTCAGGAGAACCGCTAGTCCAGCCTGTAGGAACCAGAAGAGCAAATACTTGGGAAAAGGGCAGCGTGAAAAAGACAGCGTGAAAAAGACAAGACAAAAAGCTGTAATGGCAGGATCGAAATAGCACAGGATCCTAAATGGTGGGCGAGTTCATGTTTTACTAGCCGAACGGCTGGTGTCCGCATACCTTCGAGCCACAAGGAAGCAGCTTCTTCCACGGCGTCAGATTCTCTGTGCACACAATCTCCCGAGGCAATAAAGCGTAGCGGAGAAACTTCTGGTCCGTCACTAAAGGCAAAAGGTAACTACTGTCATATTAGAGCGATGATTCAAGGGTTACAGAGACACAGATTCCCACAAACACATCAGGCCACGGCCAACAGGACAGCAGAATACAAAGGAGATATATGTTGCCAATATGACACTGATTTTCACAAATACTGCAATGACAAACAATGCAGCAACAGAACGAACACTTACGATTTTCCCCAAACGAGCTTGATGGGCCGAATGGCCTCCTCTCGTTTGTAAATTTCTTATGTTCTTATGCTAGTTTCGGAAAGCAGGTCTCAGTGCAATAAGATCTGGAAGAAAAGGTCTCACCATTTCCCACCCCCAGGGACCTAAAGGAGGCAGTCGGCTGCACAGTGTTGGTTGTGTCAATGAAATTAAGGGAGGCACAGAAGATTCCGGATATCACATTGGTAAGCTCCTTCCAGGCACCGTCCACACTGAAATGACAGAAAACACAACCCTTCACTAAGGTCTTCCCAAAACACACACATTCTGAGGCTTAAAAAAAATCACAATCAATGCAATGATTTCAGCTATTTTTCTCCATAAATAGATTACACAAATAGGTTAACAGGTTAGGTACACTGCATAAAAGCAATACAGCAAGACATGCTGCTTAAGAGTGCATGGTAAGGGAATTAAATATGCTCATTAAGTTATTATTGAAGGACAATAAAAGCCAACTGGGAATAATGATGTCGTGTATTAAAAGTTATGGAAGCAGCAAGGAGGGGGTTAACTGCACTCACTCAGTGACAGTGTCCTGAAACCACACCCAGAGCTCAGCACCAGGAGGAGCAGGCAGGAAGGGCTGCCCCCACTGCATGGTCCGCCAGTAGCCCTGCGTGAAGGAGATGTGCAGCTCCCGCACGGAGAACTTGGAGATGAGCTGGCCCAAAGATTTTGGGAACAACCTGTAGTGGGACACTGTGGGCCCAACAAAGGCAGATTGACATGAAAGCAAGCCAAGCTAAATCAATAAATGTAGTTTTAAGACCACGAATCAAAACTAGACACGAAAGCAAGACTGACCACGACCAATATCCACTTCCTCATACTACGTCTGAACATATCATAATATTTAAGGAACTTAAATTTTGGAAACATTTTTACCTTTTTTCCCCGGCTGGAAGAAATCTATATCCCATCGTGTGCGAAACTGGAAACTAGAATAAATGTCTCCGGATGGAAGAGGCTTGATTACCAGTTCTTCTTGGAACTGGTCTTTTGCGAGGGGCCGTTTAAACTCAGCCTCGTCATTTACGCCTTTACCCTGTTGGTCACTTATGTCATCCCTGTTCACATCAGCTTCTTTTGATGCAAACTGCTTTTCGGATTTCGCTTTTTCTGCTTGATCCGGCTCTGCTTTTGAGGTGTCCCGAGTTTCTTCAGATTTCTGTGCATGTAACTGCCCTTCTGGAGACTTTTCGGAAAGCGATCTGTCTACATCAGTAGGTGGTTTATTTTTGTCTTCCGTTAGTTTCAACTGTTTTTCGCTTGATGCATGTGTTATACACCACAGAAGTACCACAGATAGCAAGATACACCTGCGACTTGTCATTTTGACCGAATTAAGCTGAAGAAAACACCTTCGGCATTCATTCGTTATGCTGTAGGATCGCGCTGAAACCGGAAGCTCCCAAACTGCACCCTGCGATTTCCAGCCATCTCATTGGCTGAGCCGCAGCTGGGCGGTTCCAGGGAGGAAGACGTCTACGTAACCCACGTGGTTCGTCTGTCATTTTTAAAATGTTTATGAAGTTTGCCGCATACGTTTTCAGTTTACTCATAATGCATCGAAACCACGCTTTTCATTTTCAAATAGACCTAACTCAGCACAACATAGGCTGAAAACTAGGTGTGTAATTTGAGCACGTTCTACATTGTTCAGCATGATTAATACGATATGAAAGTGACATAACGTTTAACTCATAACTGATTTCGATTTGCATAGTAATAAAATAATCTTAAATGCCAGACAAAAGCGAATTGTCAAGAGGAAGAAAGGTCAGCATGGTTGGCAATGTTGAAGCAATACAGCCCTGAGCTCCACTCTGCTCTGACTGCAACTCAATACTGAGAGGTCTGCTCTTTCCTCACAAGCATTCATAGCTGGTCCATCCCAAGGTGAAGCAAGTATGTGTTCCAGTAGCGGAGTGACAAATTGTACTGAAGGCCCCTTTTGAATACAGGCAAACATTCACAAAGAACCCCCCCCCCCCTCCCTGGGTTGGCAAATTTGTCCTGAAGTCGCAGAGGCTAAACCCAAAGGGATTGAGGATGAGGAGATGAAATGTCTGCCCTGCATAAAGAAATGCAAAACGAGCACAACTTGCAGTAATTGTGGTAAGAAAATTTGTAATGGCCAAATTTCCAGCTATTGCCATGTTTGCAAGGTATTTGCCTGTATAGTAGTGAAATTGCGTACTTTGACAGTAAGAGTATTGTTGAATGTAAATTTAGACTGTTTTGATCACAATTTGTGTGATTATTCGTTTCTGGATCATATTTCATCAGAATTACCATTCATCATCACCATTCACCATCATCACCGTCTCATTCTGGCGGATCTGTAGAAATCCAAGGAAGTTTGGAGATAGAAACCCTTCAGCAGCTCTGACCAATGAGATTTGCCTCCAACTACTGCCTTCGGAGCCATCCAGGTGGCATCCTCAGAAGATGGCTAAGCCCTGTAGCAGCAGTTCTACCTGAAGGTCCCAGGGTTAGAACTGCAACAGCAACAAGCACAGGGTGAACCTCCCATCAAGGCAAGGCTGATTAGAAATTAGGGTAACACTTTACTTAAGGGGGCACAAATATTTAGTACTCAGTTACTACTAACTTAAGTAACAAATATCATGAACAAATATTGTAGCTAAAGATGCATCACGACTCATTAATGATGCACAAACATGAGATCAGCATTTCACATGTGCTATATTCATTATATGTTCCTCCAGTAGTTCCTTCAATAGTTCACAAAAGTTTACAGAATTTACATACATAGTAACAGATATCGTAGCCGATTGAGAAAACATGCCATAAATCATTAATGATGAATTAACATGAGATGAGTATGTAACACTTAATTTGTGGTTAATTAATAGCATACTGTAATGCTACATTATTTGTGGCCCCTTAAGTAAAATGTTACTGAAATTGCAATCCAAAAACACAATGAGGATGAAGGGGAATTAGTAGGTGGGTTTTGGTGGTTAGAAAGGGCTGTGGAGGGATAGAGATCAGGGAGCTGGTTAATTAAGCCCAAGGTGTTTGATTGTCGGTCCACAACACGCACGCCGAATTTATGGCAGATGGCTGCTATCCCGGGTGCTGAAAGAGTGGTGTGGTTTCTTGTCAATTAGCCAGATGGGACTGCAGGTCCTGGAGACAGTATTATAACAGCCCCCCCTGCCCTCAGAGAGAGAGCTGGCGTGCCCATGTCCATGCACAGGCCTAATCTTGCAGGGAGAGGAATCAGACGGCGATATGGGCTTTCTCCTTAGCTGAGGTGATCCACTGGAGTGCCGCATGGCTGATCACCAACATGAACTGTCACCCAAGTAGGTAATAGTGGAGTTTGGTGACGGCCCAATCTTAGGCAGTCTAAGAAATGTTTTTAGCTATTTATTTGGGTACTTAGTGTATATTTGTTCAGAAAAACAGCACAATTTAACATTAGAAAATATGCAAATTAAAAGAGAGAGAATTTTTTTATGTAGTGGTTGATATGACAACTAAAACATGAAAAGCCTAATTCAATGCAATGCTATTTGTATGTCGCATCAATTTTTTGTGTATTTGTCCAGTTCCTTATAAAACTGAAGAATGGTGAAACAATCCATGCAGTTCCCAGTCCACAAGACAGAAGTAAAGTTTTTACCTACAGGCAATTAGGCTTTTCTTCATCAACCTTTTTATCTACAGGCAATTAGGCTTTTCACCAAAACGAACTGCATTTCAAATCTGGCCACAATTAATACTCCCATTATGTATGACAAATGTAAAGAGTTTGTTCATGGAAGCTTTGCAGGTTATTTACATGCTGTAGACAACATCAGCAAGGTATCGGAAGCCATACACTGTATATTCATTGTCTATAATGGGGCTTTTTTGGTTTCTTGTCTTATAATAGAGAAAAGACTGTATGCCTTTTTACATTTTTATTCTGTTAGAAGTGGTAATTACTGGCATTTTACTGTCCTCAGAAAAAAAATGATAAATGCAGCAGTCTTCTGTGGAACAAGAAGAAAATTATAGAAGAATATAACCTTTCTGCTGACACCTCCTGAGAGATGTGAGGGAAAAGGAAGCCATAGTCCATTATGGGTGTTTATTATTTTCATTTATTCAGCATTTATTTTCTAAAATGCATACACCCACTTCCTCCATTTGATGCTGTGTGAGGGACTGTGTGATAATTGCCATTACTGAGCCTCTCGTTTTGTTCGTCTATCTGTTCCCTACTTGTACCTGTTTCACTGACTGATTTCGGAGTTGGTTTCACACCTGGTTTGCCAGCCTGTTTTAGCCCATTTATCGTATTTTCTCTGCATTTAGATTCTTGATTCAGTTTCTGTCGGCCCGCCTGGTTTTGACTCTTGCTTTCTGATTGTGGATAGTGATTAAAGACTCCCTCTGCATCTGGGTCCAGTCTCCTTATCATACACAGCATGCATAATGTTTTTGCAGAAATTTAAGTTTGGTTAATGGATATTTTGATTCCCTTCTCTAGGTTCACATTTTAATTGGACAAAATGCCCATCAGTTCTTGCTACTACAATGACTCTTTGATCAGTGAACCTTGAAGATTGGAATAATTGGATCTAGATGGATCTAGGGTTGTGTTATAACCAGTTGAGTATAAAGAGTCACAGTCACAGAGTACTCAACTGGTTGGGTGAAACAAAATCTTGGTCTGGATTTGTACTCTCTGAATCTGAAATCTCCACCTCTGGTTATAACTTTGACTTAAGAATCTCGACCACACTGAAGGTGATGTTTGGTGCCTTTGATGCAAACACAGATACATAGTTGGCATGCCACACTTACTAAGATAAATTAAAATGGTGCATATTTTTTAGGTTGAAGTACTGAGCTTCTAAAAGGGAACTTTGGGTACATTAAGGAAGAACATCAAAGTCTGTTGGTATTCAACACAAGTAATGACTGAAACTCAAACAGATACTTTGGTAGTTCAAAGTTAATTTAAAATACATTTTGGGAGATATGGCCAAAGCAGCAAATTGATTAGTTACTAAGCATTTTCTTTGCGGTGGCTCAGTGAGCAGCCCCGCTTCCTCTGACCTTCATGGTTGGGGGTGTAAGCCTTGGAGAGTCATCACTGCTATAGTAGAGCAGTGCATAGAGGGCAAAGCAGGGCAATGACAATGCTGCAGTAGCACCCAGCTGGCATTGAATTATTATGAGTATCTGAAGACAGTTGACTTGACTTACCCTGCAGCTTTGTAGAACACCCCCACACCAAGGAAAGGGGAGAGAATGATTTGCTGAGGGCTTTCTCTCTGAAATCAGACACTGACAGCTCATGGTGCCGACCTCTGCCCACCCGCCTGGCTCAGCCCACAAGCCCCCGCAGGATGACAATACAGCCCTCACTGACCACCAAGCACTGAGGACAACACACCTGGACTCCAAAAATTCACCTCTCTCCTCACTGCCCTTACTTTCTTATCCAGACTGTGAATAAATGCACCCCTCTGTGGAGTAAACGCCAGCCACTGTCTCTGGATCCTTCCTAAATGTGACAGGAGCTCGAATTCCAGCTCTCTCCTGTGATTGTGGAGTTTGCAGTGTGTCCCCACACTCCAGAGACATCAGTGTCCCTAAATTACCCCTGTGGTGGATTCCATTTCAGGGTATTTCCATGCTTTCTGTCTAATGCTGCCCAGGATAGACCCCAGCAAGCCTGTCCAATGTCACATCAAAGGCAAGGACAGAGGCAAAGGCAGGCATGGGAAAAATCAAAAGGGGCTTTATTAAAGGAAACTACAAGCAGGGCAAAGGAAACGGCCCACAAGGGGTCAAAACAGGGAAGGGAGGATCAGGGAGGATCAGGCAAGAACACTGGACACACTGGACACACAGCACACTGGGGAGCACATGCAGGCAGCAACACCAATGACTGGACTGGGGAGCTTGAGACAGGGAGGCACCTTTATACCTCACTGACGAGGGAGCAGACGAGAGGCAGCTGGGGTGATCCACACGAGGGCTGTAAAAAGAGGTTAGATTAAACAAGCAACCGGTGTGGATTGTTAGAACCACATGAGGGAGAGAACGAGGGGGAAGGGATGCAGGGTATGATATCCAGTATAAGTAGCTCTGAAGATAAATGGAGTTTTCAACCAGTCCCCCACCCTCACATACTGAAAATCCATTTTACATTTGTTATTGCTACTATATATGAGTTGTGACTTGTACAGGGAACTCTATGCACCTACTAGTTTTCACTCATTTCTTTCAATCAATTATACACTTAACTGGACTGGCCTGAAGCAGGGGTCTTCAGTCACAGTTTTAGCCCTCTTTCGCCCTCTCGCTGCAGTAAGAAGCAAATCTCAGGAAATGTCATACATGAGATTTACCTCAGCAAGTTTAAGGCTCATTGTTTTCACCAAATAAAGCTTGTGATTAACAAGAAAAAATCATGAAAAATTTGGCAGGGCAAGCACATATTATTATTATTGCCCATCCATGCATTCATTTTCTATACCAACTTATCCTATACAGGGTGGCAGAAGCTCAGAGCCTATGCTGGAAGCTATGGGTGCAAGGAAGGGAAAGAGGAAAACCTAGGATGGGGCACCAGATGATGATGATTATTATTATTATTATTATATAATTAGTTTGTTTTACTCTGCAAATTGATAACATGTCCATTTTTCAGCAACACAAGCATTCAGATTTAAGAAATTATTTAAGGATTTGAGTTATTAATGCATTATATTGTTATGGCAGGGCATGGTGAAGGCAGGGAAAAGACAGACAATCTACAGACGGCTCCAAGTAACAAAGGGTTATTAAAAAACTCAAAATAACAGGGGAAAACCACAAAATAAGGAGACTGCGGGGGGGGGACATAAGAATTAAACTGAATGTAATACATTCAAGAAAAGAGGAAACACAGGGAGCAGAACTAGGGAACAACCAGGGCTGCAGATAACTGATTCAGGGTAACAACTAAAATAGGCAGTAACATCTACAATAACTCCTTGAAGAATAAAGTGAGGGTAGGTACTTAAAACCATATAGACAACAAGGGCAAATAAGGAACAGGTGAGAATCATGACAAAACCAATCAATGAAAGTGCAAGAGCAGCAAGACAACGAGCAACAGGTGGAATCAGTAACGTTAAATGAGCACAAAAACATAGCAAACACTAGCTAACACTAGGAAAGACTTGGATCATAAGAATATAATACAGCGTTGCAGAAGCGGGCTAAACCTAAAACAGGGAAATAATACGCAATAGGGATGAGAGGGGGGAAGAAACATGACCAGTGACACCTGCTGGTCAAAAGGGAAGAGAACGCGTGGTACATGGTAGGACTGGCCACCGTGACAGTATACCAATTAAGTTAAAGGAGGAATTACTGGGCGAGAAGGAAAAGATTAACATAACAGTAAAGATTAAACAAACATTTAGTAAAACTAAAACATTAGAACATACGGACCCTGCGCTGATATATAGACAAACATATAATGGAATATATGTAGAGGGCATGTTGCATTAGTGTTTAAGAACAATTACTGTTGGTAACTTTATACAAGTAAAAATAGACACGTGACTCGCTGGTTCTCCTCACTCTGCGCAGATTATAGCAGAGTCTTCCAGCTGATCGACACTGCGTGTCTGTACAACTCAGCTTTCATGATGGAGAATCAGATGCGCTTCCAGTGTGGAATTGCCGGGTTTTCGCTCCACGCTGCACAAAGCCGGCTAGACTGAGTCAAAACACCAGTCATCCGCTTCATACACTGCAGCTCACGGACGGACTCAGCCGTATCCCCCCTCCCACACATGACAGAAAAAAAAAACAAAAACTGGAAGAATTATTCCTCCCCATGACTTGATAGAAACTCAAACTTGCTTTTTCTCTGAGCGTTTTAAAGCCTCACCTGTGCAGGCTGGTGGTGACCTTGGTGGTCTCTGATAGGATTTTCAGCATTTTATGCAAAAAAATTACTCCGCTGTCTCCATGGCTACATCGGATAGAATAGAGGATTGTGTGCTGCGACGAGGCAGATCGCAAAGCGACCCGAGCATCGTCACCGAATCCGCGATCGATCTGGCACGGGGTATCGGTAAGCATAAGGGATCTCTTACATTTTTATGGGGGATTCCTTTTCAAAATAAAAACTATTTCACACACGTGATTTTTATTCATATCAGACTGATCACGAAATATTAGACTACAATCCAGAAAAATGTTCATTTGCATCCCACTTGGATGGATGGTAAAACTGACCCAAATAAAGCTAAGACGCATTATTTTACTTAGCTAATTATTGAACTGAGTGATGCTTGCTAGTCAGAATTGCATTGCATCACACATTTAGCTTGAGACGACTAACCAGAAAAATGCAACAGATAAAATATATAGCCTAATATATAGATTATGTTTGTAATAAATTTACTATTGGTTTGCTATCTTTTGCTGTAATTAATCACAAACACCATTTGGCACAGTTGTCGTTAGTTAAGAGACGAAGAGATGCTACATTTATGTGAACTATTATTTAAAGATACGCTCAGTTTCATTAAACTCGTTTTTGCTCGCAAAAACGTCCCAATTTAACTGTATCCGAATTTAAGTTACTGTCTTTAAGACAGTCACCATTGATACAACTGCATGGTTAGTTGACTTACTGTCATCTCTGAATTAATGCGTGTCATTTATTGCTTTTGCATTTTATGACATCATATAGGATATTTTTTTACATAAAGTGATGGATTATGCATTATTATCCTTCACAAATGATGGTAACACGTGGTGTATTAGTCTGTGTAGGAGATCGGCTACTTTCGCGTTAACGGTTGACTTTTCTGTTGTTTTCGACAATAGATTACGTGTAAACGGCAGACACGTGTGTCTCGTACGGCATTAGCGTACTGTCCTCCGTAACTGTGACGGTTCGATCTTACCAGCAGTTAGTCATTTGCTTATTAGTGTATTTATATTTTCTTACATGCTAGGGTATAGTTTCTCATTTATGTTAAGGTAAATTAAAGGGTCACCGTGGGTATTGTATCCTGCCGTGATTTCCTCGCCACTATTTGACTGACTGTTTTGACGCAATCGTAGTAAAAGTGACGAGCAGGGGCGAATATTCATACAATTAATTAAACCTATTTGCAGGCTGGTGGTAATTAAATCCTTAAGACTGATCAAGAATGTAATGCATTTACTCCAGATTGTGCAGAGTGGTATAATTCCCGTTCGTCAGAAAGTTGTGTCGGAGATAACATTATATTTACTATTTCAAATTAACATTGTCTGAACAGTGGACGGCTCTTATTACTTGTTCTGTGTTACATTTTTTAGATTCTACACTCCTGTTTAATTATGTATTGTTGCATTTACACTTAATGATTGTATTAATTGGTCATTAATGGTTGTCTGTTCGTTACAAAATTATTTATTTTGTTTGTTCTAGTCTATATTATCACCAGAAGGGTTAGTTTGTTTGAAGAATCTGTATGTTGTCCTGTCCACATATCAACTGGACATACCTGCTCCATAAGATCACTAGGTTCAGTCCTTGGTAGATAACTTTCATATACTGTCTTAACTTTATTTAGACATTGTTCTGACAGCTCAGGTATCCAAGCAGAGTTTATTGGGTTTTTTTCCATTTAAAAAAACATACATAGACACACACACACACACACGTGTGTGTAGGAGTTCTGACTTATTTTTGAAAATCATGAGTGTTACAGTTTCATACAAATTGCAGTCTCCCACAGTGGCAAGCTGACAAACTGGCACTGCACTAGTGAGTCAGATATATGACTTTACCTGCCAATTCTTCTAAAACATTCAAATTCCTTTGATCATAGCTATTTCTGTCTGTACCTCTTCTCTGCAGCAGGGCTACTTGATTGGTGGACTCAGGACTGAAACACAATTTAATCTGGGCTGTACGATCACGCGACGAAGCACCCAGGTCAGCTGAGTGAGACCCCTCTGGAGTCGACAGAATCAGTGGACCTTGGCTTTTCGTTGCTGTTGGAATTTGGACCTCGGGGATAAAATAATTGAGATTCAGATTCAGGGTACATTATCTATCCCCAGGGGGAAATTTTTGTGGTGCAATAGCAACTCACATAAATGACAAGAACATGAAGACATGAGGCAGACATAATGCCGAATTACATCTATATACAATATAGAATTGGAATAGAATTTTTTTATATATATATATAAAATGTAATATATACTACATTTTATGTACCTTTAAGTGTCCAAAACAAATGTAAATGTGCATTGTGGATTGTCTGAGTGGAGGGAGACGATACAGTTGACTACTTCCATGGGCAGAAATGACCCCATGCTTTACAGAACCATGCCTATGTTATTAAGTGCAGCAAATGCATAGATGTTCAGGAAGTAGATGTGTCATCTGGCAGTTATGTGATAAAGTCCTGTGGGGGGTTTAGCTATATATCATATAAGGGCTTTTCATTCAAGAAGAATAATACATTTGTTATTAAAAAATGATGCCAGTGTTGTATCTGTTGAAAATTCTTAAAGATCTTTATGTAGAATTCGAATCTCATTCAGTCAGACAAGCAGGAACATGTTTAAGACTAATAAGATTACATTCCCCCTACAGACTTACATTTCCTCTGCCCTGTTTGCAGCAACCTTCTCTGTAATACATGCACGGCAAGGTATTAATTATACACAGTTATGGTTACACTTATACAGTATACTTCTATGTTCTTCCTGCTACATGATAAACTCGTGGCACTAGAATCCAGAGAATGCTCAGTTACAGTTAGGGCCTGCCTCACAGATTAGTGGATGAGGAACATAATTTCCATGTACAGCTTGGTGTTAGGACTCTACAAAGGTCAGAGTATTATCCTTTTCATTCAGCCTTTTGAGAGGCTGTGGATTGAACATAGAGTCAAAAGCTCTCAAACATAAACTTCCCGATTATACCTTGCAGAATTCAGGTGGAGAGGCATTCCAGCTGCACTCTCCTTACTTCAGGTTCTCCTTGATATTTTTCTTTCCTCATTGCATCCAGCCTGACTTACCACACATATATGTGTTACTGTATTCACAGACAAGCTGTTATCAGTGGGCTAAAAGTAGAATGTGTGAAAATATCCTATTAATAAACGAATTACTAGTGTATGTGTTGCTGTGAAAACAGCACCAGTGTGCTCTAGCATGATTATAGGTGTGCAATCCCCTTCTGTGTAACAGTGTGTAAGCACTGTTTCCAGCGCTGAAGATCACGTGTTGAATTATGCTGCTCATCGAGTCCGATCCATTTTCCACTCACATGCTATCCTGTCCGCTTCAAGTTTGCCTTCACATACTTTACCTCTTTTTCAGCAATCCAGATACTCTTAGTATGACATGTGTCAGCCACCCACTGACCCACTCCCCCTGAGCTAAAGCACGCCAAAGAGGGCTTCAGGTGCAGCTAATATATGTTGCACCTGTAGTTATCCATGTTATCTATACAATCAGCTTCATAGCCAGTGAATTCAGTTTGGCTTCTGTAATAGCTTTCACACCTAACTCACTGAAAGAATTTATGTACATTTATCCTCTTCCTATGCCAGCAGAGATTTGACTTTATGTGTGTTTGAACGTGAAGGTGCGCTGTCAGAACACAGTAAACCTGGCCTATAGCTCTACCTCAGGTACACAAGGTTATGGATCATTTAGCTTCGTAATCAACACTGGCTGGTCACGAACATGGCTGCATACTGCCATGGGCCATTAACCTTTGCTGTCAGTTTTTGTCTGGAAACGGTAATTGTGTTTACTGTCTTCTCCCTCCTTCTGATTTCCAGTTTAAATGCTCATACTGAGATGCACCTAAATTTGTTTTGCATAGATGAGGCAGGCTGAAACCCAAACACTCATAAGATACTCCACTGGGAAACATGCTTTAGGAGACGTGTGTGAGACTGACCTGGTGTGGCCAGATAGATGAGTAAACAAATATTCATAGGCTGAAGAGTCAGGTAGCTTGTAAGCTGTCTGCATGTTTTGTAGCAGGTGTTTGAGGCCCTGTTTGGGATGTTTTGCACTGGGATACCTGCCAAACTGTAAATAATAATAAACTGCAATATTATTGCGCATTTAGCACAGCTTTTTGGGAGTATATCTGTGTTTATTACAGGAATTTGGGTTGAATTATTCATTTGACAGTATTTTATTAGTCAGGACATCCTTCAGATATTGTTCAGAATATCAGAAAGCTGCTCAAGGGTAAAACAGCATTATCACTTCTCTTGCTTTGCTGCCCATTTGTTGGCTGCTCTTTGCTCCTTTTTCTGGACGTCGTCTGACAGTCTCAGTCAGCTGTAGCATCCCCATTTCCCAGATGGAAACCAAAGGGTCACCTAGAGAAACCTAAGATTTTGTCAGTAAAATAATGGTGCAGCCCTGGTACAGTTTTTCCCCCAAGGTACAAACAACATTAATGTACCCCAATGGTACAGAAATGTTCCTTTGAGTCCATTTATGTACATTAAATTAGACTAAAATGTACATTTACTGACAGCTAGGGTACAACTGACAGGCCCTTGAGGGTACAGTTCGAGTGACAACCCTGTGACAGTGAAGGTAACCCGAATATGTGATGTATGTCATATACTAATGTGGACTGATTCACAAAGAAAATGTAGTTGAGACATTTAATCTTTACTTTCTATTTAATACAAATATACCATTATGTATTTTCCCATGACCTGTTACTCTTAGATGTCCGATGCCTAATTGTGGGATTTCTGATTTGTACTAGAGAAAGTGTTTGGATTGGCTTGCAAACTAGCTTAACAAAGTCTCAGCACCCTTGTATGTGGGAAATGAATGGACAGAGGAATCAGCTATCCAATCAGCATCAAAGAAAAAAAAAAGGTAGAAGCTTAGTGTTCATGTCATTGGACAGTATGACAGACTGAATGCTTACTAGGAGGTTCTTGGTTTAGCAAGACACTGAGGTAAATAGATATTTAGTAAATATATGGATTTGACAATGGATGCAATGAAAAATGTCAGGTGATGAAACTTATAGCAATTTCATAAGGGGGCATACATAGATAATAGCAGAAG